CTGAATGCCAGTTGTATGCTAGGAACTGTGCTAGGCTGAAAGGATATAAAAGGTGACCAAAATTCAGTCCCTATTGTTGAATTATTCATATCTAGGGGGAAGACAGATATGTAAACAACTGATTGCAATGCAAGGTGATTAGCTTATTACAGAAGAATACCAAAATATTAAAAGTGCACAAGTGAGGTAAAGACAGGTTTCACAGACAATGAGTACTCATGTGGATAGCATTCAGGAGGAAGGGACAGGTTTCTAGAGGGCAGAGATAGAGGGCTGGGTAATGTGTGGAAGAGTTAATAGATAAGTTAATAAATACCTATAAATGATCTTGCATGCTATGACAAAGATTTAGATTTTCTCACCTCTGGGACAGTAGCTCTTTGTCTTTGGGGCATAACAACAGCTACCCAAGGAAGAAATTTAAATGCAGATTCCTGGAGGCTTCACCACCAGAAAGTGATTCACAAAAGTCAAATTGATCTGGATCAAAGTTATGGCCCCACTAAGCCTCCTGGCTGGGTTGTATTGAAGGTGGATAGTGGATCATACTTTTAAAAACTGCTAGAAGAGATTGGAACTTTTGGAAGCAATGTCGGAGGCTAAAGTAGTCCAGGTATTAGTGGGGTCACCTGAACTTAGGCAAGAGAGGGTTGGAGGAGGAGAATCCATGGATGTCATAAGGCAGTTACAGATGGAAGCTTTAAGCATAATGCCTAGCACATATTTGAGTGTTTAATATGTGTTATAACTGAAGCTGAATTTTCTGCAATGTCATTGCTGTCTGTAATTAGTCATGGAAGGACAAATATATGAAGAAATTTAGTACCACCTGAATTTGACTGCTGATGTTTGGGGTTGGAATTTTTAAGGAGAATGACACTCTAGGCAAATGCCACCCCACTTCTAGGGCCAGACTTTATCGACACGTAGGTTTCATCTTCCCTGGGATCCTTACCTCAATAATCTTGAGTCCAAATCCACAAAATGAGCTTGAATCTGTGAAGCTTGTGTGCTTCAGCTGGATCAGGTGCACACACACACCTTAGACAGTTTAGACAATGTGTCTAAAGATTTTCTTCCAGAGCTGGGCATGGTAGCTCACACCTATAATCCCAGCACTTTGGAAGGCTGAGATGGGTGAATCACTTGAGGTCAAGGAGTGCGAAGAGACCAGCCTGGCCAACATGGTGAAACCTCATCTCTACTATAAATACAAAAAAAAAAAAAAAAAAAAAAAAAAAAAAAAAAAAAAAAAAATTAGGTGGGCATGGTGGCACATGCCTGTAATCCCAGCTATTCAGGAGACTGAGGTGGAGAGGAAGAGGATCACTTGAACTGCAGATGCAGAGATTGCAGTGAGCCAAGATTGCACCATTGCACTCAACCTGGGTGACAGAGCAGACTCCATCTCAAAATAATAATAATATTGTTTAAAAGAATTTTCCTTCTAAGCCCTGTAATCCAGTACAATCATTAGTGAGCTTAAACATAGATTGGATAAATTTAACAAGAACCTGCCAAGTCTATGTTGCTTTTCCAGACTAAAGAGAACCTAACAGTGAGCCCTGATTTAGATGGAATGCAGAGCTCAAGAAAGACCTGTGGCAGGAGCAGGAGCTGAGACAGGATGTAGCTTCACAGATACTGGCCTAGACTGGACTCTGTCCTGCTATGGGGTTCACTTACCACCCTAGTCTGATCCGAGGTGTTTGATTAGGACTTTCATTGTTTTGCTTTGGCAGATTCTCTTACTCAGCACAAACATGTAGATATTCCTGTAATCTGTGAGTGCAAAATATTTTATTTCTAATGTTTGGTTGAAATATTTCCCAGAAAAACATTTTGGTTGAAAGAAAACAGGCTGTGAAATTGGTTTCTTGCCATATACTAGTAAAGCAAAGTTTGGTCCTGGGTCCTCTCTACCCGCGCCAAGATGGCAGAGGCATTTTTGGCACTTGCAGAGAACACTGGGTGGGAGTGAGGTGGTGATGTCACACAAGATTCCCAACCTCACTCTGTCATTAACCTGCAATGTATGAACTTGTGAGCAAGTCACACTCCTCATCTCAGGGTCTGTGACAGGTGCAGGGTTTTTTTCTGAGGAAACAGATTCTGAGACTCTGAGTTTTGCCTGCAAGCAGTTAACACAGGAACAATACTTATGAGGGGTGAGGATACAAGACTGGACAGGGTGAATTTGCAGGCTGCAATGAGTTGGCTCTTCGAATTGTCCACTGTGAGACAAAAGGGGATAGCTTTCCTTTATCTATCCCCTCTTCACTACATCAACCGGTGAATGTGAGCTGTCCACTGGTGAGGGTGTGACTTGGGGGAAAGGTGGCTACCTTCTAAGCAGGTCAGTTGTCAGAATCTAACTGCTTATATTGACAGCACCCTTAGGATTCTGAGAGGTAGCATCTGAGACAGCACAGCACAGTGTCCACAACAGTTTCCTTAGTTTCAACCTTAATAATGTGATGAGGTGGAGCAGATAATGTCTATACTCAGTTGTCTATTGCCATAATAAGGTGAAGTAACAAAGACCACAAACCTTAGTGGCACATGCAGTAAACATCCACATTTGGTGACAGAGTTTCTAGGGTTCAGCTGATCTGGGCTGGGCTTGATTAGGTTTGCTCGGCCATCTACAGTCAGCAACAAGGTTGGAGTAGAAGTTCTGCACTGATCTTGGCTGGGCTTGTACACATGTTGGGGGTCAATGGGCTGTCAGCTGACCTGGGGTAGCCTTGGTTAGGATGAGAACAGGGTAACTTGGCTTGTGACCCTCAGCAAGCTGGTGTGGGCATGTTCTCATGGAAATGGCAGAAGCAAGAACCACAGTCCCCTAATGCATAAGCCCATTTCTAGCCTCTGTTTGTGTCATTGTGCTAATATCCCATTATTAAAGCCAGTGATATGGATGAGCTCAGAATCAAGAGGCAGAACAGCTCAACCCGTTTCCCATATGAAGAAGCTGCAGTTACTGGAGCAACTGAGGTATAGCTATAGGGAGAGGTAAGAATTGGTGCTATATTAAAAATCTACTACAATCTCCAGCTTCCTTCCATCTGAGCCATTCAGTGGTTTTGTGACTTTATCCATTAAGTGGATGCTAATGTTCTAATTCTGTGGTTCTAATTAGGGCTTGAACTCTGTCGAGTTATTGGTTCACAGCACTCAGCACAGGAGACCAACTCTGGACATTAGTGATAAATATTTCATTGAATGAACAAAAGCAAGAATGAATGTATGTTGGGAATTAAAAATTATAATTTCCAAGTACAAGATAAAATCTGGTTTGTAAAGTCTTAGAATCAGAACATTAGTTGTTAAGAACATTTTTTTAAAAAACCAGTTTTGAATGGTTTTTCTTTATTATTATTATTACTATTCACAAAAGTAAAATATGTTCCTTGTTAAGAATTTGAATAACGTAGGTATGCAGAATAAACAAATAAAGAAGTTTTCTTCACCTTTTCTATGGAATTTTTTCCTATGTGTATTTCCATATGAATGTATCTTCTTTTGTTTTTATTTCCTTTATAACCAAAGAATAAAGTCATACTATGCATTTTGTTTGCAACTTGTTTTTATACTCCAACAAGATGCATTTAAAAAATATAATCAATAACTGTAAATTAATTTAAATTTTTCTAATAACAAAATAAATATTACATTTGAAAAATAGTTTATATGCATGAGACCTATCACCTTTTATGTTGCAGACAGTGCTTGGTTCTCATCTAGGCTCTCAGCTCCTTTTCCTTTGGACCACCTCCATGAAACACTGTTATGACTTTGGGGAAGGGAATACAGATTGATTCTTTCCCTCTCATTTTTGATTTGCTTTGGAGAAATAAAGTTCCTTGTTTATACACTTTCAACAATCCTAATATCAAACTAAAAGTAACAGTTAAGTTATATCCCACTTTTTATTAATGAAAAGTAATGCCTAATGGTACTCAAATTATAACATCTCATTTGCAAAATTGTGGTTGTTTTTACTGTGGTATAGTATTGCAGTACAGTACTGTTCACTGGGTAGTGCTATTGGTAATAAGTGATAGGCTCTCATTGCTAATTTTTCCTGTTATCACATATTTGCTAACGTTAATTTTCACATTTGTTTTTAATAATATGAGTTATTTTGCAGATAAAATCTTAGGTAGGGTTGAGAGATACACTGTGACTTGTTTGAGAGGAAAAGTAAATACAGTTCTTCTGTCCTTGAAAATGTTAAAATGCTTTCCCGACATACAAGTTGCCATGTAAAACCACTGGTATCTTGATTTTCATGCTTCCCATTAATCCAGTGACACCTTCGAGGAGCCATTCTGAATTATAAGGATTTATTTGGGGGGGTTGATAATTGAAAAAATATATAGTGATTTAAAATTTCCATAAATTGTCACATTTTGTTTTATGAGAAACTGTATTCCTGCCACAAAGTTGCATTATGAATAGCTTGTGACTTCTTTTGGAGCCAAAATGAACCTGTGACTAGGAACTGGCAACAGAAACTCTATTTTTCTCTATAGATATGACATGCTTACTGGGTCCCAGCAGGGTTAATTCACACAAAAGGAACAGACACAGATTTTAGACTCAGAATTACGTTTAATGGAAATAGAACTTAACAAAAGTGTCTGGGTTGGTCCAGTTCCCGGAGTGAGTTGGGGTGAAGACTGACTCCTAGGTGAGGTTGCAGTCTTCTCCCCGTGCTGACTCAACAGTCTCCCTCTCCACCTGTTCTATTTGCTAGAACAGGATGGATAGAATAGAGCCTTGATCATCTATAGAGTAGCTTTCTAAACTTTATTCATGTATTTGTTTCTATATTTATTAATTCACTCTGAAAACTTCTGTTCAAACACAATGTGAGTTGAATATATAAAACTAATGAAGGCTGGTGTGATTAGGCCCAGAGCCTTCACCCATTCACTTCCCAGTGATTTCTGTCTTGCCATACCCATATTCATTCACATTTTATTTCCCTTAAGATAATGAGAAGCCCATGCGAGTAGTGGATGATGAAGACTTGGTAGACCAGCATCTCATCAGTGAGCTGAGGAAAAGAGGGAATGACCTATAATGACTTCTTCATGGTACTAACAGATGTGGATCTGAGAGTCAAATTTACCAGTGCTTATTTTGAATAACGTAGTGCTATTTTTTAGAGCCTAAGCAAATCTGAATTGTTTTGTTAATGAGTCATTCCCAATTTATGGGTAAGCATAAATTATTTTATAAGTGGGAAAGGTTTTGAGATAAGGCAAATTTTCCATGTTGTCGTATGAATTTGCATCCAGAAATGTGGTATCTGGCAAAGACTGAGTTGGAGTGACTTCCCACAGCCCAGCTAGTTGACTCAGACTAAATTCTTTTCTAACACCAATGTTTTACATTCATAAGAAACTGGTTAAGAAACTATGATGTGCCAGATCCTGGAGATAAGGTGAAAAGTGGTCTCTGCCTTCAAGGAAACCCATATTTAACGACCAGGCCTATCTCGAGGTCTAAAAGTGTGCTTCTGATGTGTGGACAAGAGTTTGGGGTTTTACACCTACTTTCTATGCTTACGGGACAAAGGTTCTGAACCATGAAAAACCTTCTATTACCATGTAATAATAACAATAGCTTAAAAGAAATAGTCCCTCACTTTATCAAGTGCTTTCCTTTTATACTGGCACTTTCTTCAACCTTTGCAATCCTTATCTTACACATGTCTAAGATATTACCAGCATTACAAGCCATTTTTGTTTCTGAAGAGGAAAAAACAAGAGGCCAGAGTGGTTGAAAGTAACTAGCCAGAGTCACCATGCAGTTAATGTTGAACTTCATTTCCACAGAGGCTGGCTCAGAACCCACTGTGCTTAGCAACTCTGGCATACTGGCTATATCACTGAAAATACATTTACTGAGTTTATCTTAATACCTTTCAAAGCATTCCCTAAACAATTTTTTAAAACAACTTATCAAAATATTATTTTAAAGTTCAAGCTTCTGAAACCCTGTGAAATGGGGAACATAAAAAATATTCATGAAAAAGTCATCCATATACCATGCTTGTGTGAGAATCTTCAGGGGAAAAAAGGCTGTCTGTGCTATCAGAATAGGTGACCCAACACATGCAATATGTTCTGGATCTGGAGAGATGGCGTCATTAGCTAATTCTGCACATGTGTTGTCCCACCTCTAATGAGAGAGATTGGGCCAGATAATCTCTAAGGTCACTTACCAGCTCTCACATTCTGTGATTTACACAATTCCCAGGAGGCGGAGCTTGAGCCATGTCAGACTGCTCTCCAGCCACACTGATTATGCTCCAGCCCAGCTCTCAATCAATCTAGGTTACTTTTTGTAAGTCCAGGCAACTGTGATTCAGGAACCTGAATTTCATTGTCTTTAAGTTGGATCCCAGCCATTTCTGAGAATATGCTTAAGCATGATTTAATATTAAGTGATGCTTACACTCTGATGCAAACAATCCTGGGACCACAGAACAGGCCTTGGTGGAAAACTACTCATTGCTCAGGTTACACACTCGAACATGTCATTCCATTTAGTTTCCTGTGTTAGGTACAGTGTTTCTCACTTTATTCTCAGTTGTTAGTCAATAGGAACCTTAGTGCCAAAGGTAGAGAGGTGAACATAGGACTTGTATGGTGAGGAAGGCATGGACCCTTTCCAACAAAAGGAGTGTAGATTGGAATTCCTTGTAAAAGAGGCAGTTGTTTCATGGAATCTAACCCTCAAAACATCAGCAGAGGGTACTATTGCAGGAGAGCATTTATGAAGCAATATGTCCTCTGGGCTCTGAGCATTTCAAAGATTTCCCCAGAGCTCCTCCAGATTTCTACACAGGAGTTCTCTATCCTCTGAATAGAGAGAAAAGAAATGCACTTATACATTATTTTGCATTCATTATTTCTCAAACAGCAATACTATGAGGTGCCAGCTAACAATGGCAAGTCTGTGTTTGATCTGATCGATACTTTCCAGTCCCGAATCAAAGATATGGAGAAGCAGAAGAAGGAGGGCATTGTTTGCAGAGGACAAAAAGCAGTCCCTGGAGAACTTCCCTATCCAGGCATCACCTTTGGAAGTCGTGAAAGAAAGGAAAGGATTACAAATTTATTCCTGAGTAAACTCATAAAAATACAAAAAGAAACACAGAAACCGCAATCATGTTTACAGAGGTAACCCCCACTGGAGAAAAACCTACCCGTCTTTGACCACTGGGCTTTGTCTTGTCCTGTTGAGATATACTCTGGCTACAGGGCAGCTGGGTTGCCCAAGCTCCAAGCATTAAACAGCCCGATTTGGTGGCTCTGGATAGTTCTTTTCTCCTTTTTTTTGCTCTTTTTGGTACAGAAAATGAATCCTGACCTCCCAAGAAGGTTAATTGCTAGTCAATGAAATCTGGAATCTACACATAGCATTTCTATTTTTACTGTTATTTATTTATTGAGCCCCTTCTGGTTCCAAACAGGATTTGGCACACTGTGCTGAGATTTTCAGCTTTCCTTGCAACTCTGCAGGAAACAACAAAAAGCCCCACTAAGACCTCAAAGGAGAAATCCTCTTGACCCCAGTTTCACTTGGAGAATTTTAAAACAGTACTCTGTTTATTCAGAAGGCCATCTTGTGACAACCCCAGTATGCGCATGGGGAGTGGACAAACAGAGAAGAGTGTAAAAAAGCTTTATTCAATCATTACAGGACAAGGAGTCCCAATCCAGAGACCAAAGAAGTTCTTGGATAATTACAGAAAAGAATTAGGGCAGATCTGCAGTGCAAAGTGAAAGCAAGTTTACATTACAGAAAGGCAAAAGAGAATAAAAAGGATAAGCTACTCCATAGACTGAGCAGCCCAGAGGCTGCCACGGCTGCTCATTTTTGTGAATTGTTTTTGGTGTTTCATGCTGCCTCACCCGGGACGGACCACCACACTAACACTCTCTTTTTAAAAAAGACCATATAGGGGCCTTCCCGACATTTGCTTGAAGATTTGCATAAAGCTGTATAGCGCTTGGGTATAGCAGTGAGGATGACCAGAAGTGATACTCTCATACGCCGGCACGATCTTGGTGGATTTTGCAGGGCAGCCCCCTTTGCGGCTTGTTTATATCAGGTTCTTTATGACCTGTACTGGCTGTGCGACTTCACATCTCATCCTGTGACTTGTGCCTTAGCTCGTGTCCTGGGGAGCACAGCCCAGTAGATTTTAGCCCTCATTTTACCCAGCTCTGCTTTAAGATGGAGTTGCTTTGGTTTAAACGCCTCTGACAAGTCCACTTTTCTCCCTTCTTCCTTCACTCCCGATGTAGGATGAAACTTCTACAGAGACTTTGGGAACTAAGTGCAAAGTTGCAGAAAACTATACGCAACAAACTACAGAGGTCACAGTATAAACACCCTCCACAGCTATACTGCCAATGATTGGGGGCTCCAGAAACCAAGCAAGCTTTGGCTGCATTTAGTGCTTGAGCCTCCCAAACCAAATCTTTGCTCATGTCTCTACAAAGCTTACATTCTCTATATGTGAGACAGAGCTTTAAGAAAGGATATGATTAAAAAGTGGATAATCTGCATTTCTACAGATTTGTGAAGCTTGGGTCTTCTAGGATGTAACATCATGATATATAAGAAGTTCAGAACTTACCATTCATCCAAGTTTTGAGTCTGCAACTTACTAACTATGTTGACCTTTTTCAATTAAAGCTGTACGTGAAAAACTTCTCACCCATAAAATTAAAAACGATAGCAAGCAGCTCTATCTCCATCCATCTCCATTTCACATAGCCATTATACCTGTGACCACTTTTTGTGTGCTAATCTCTGGGCCAAGCACTTCACCTTCATTGCCCTAGTTTTACCCTCTGAGAATCCCATTATCTAAACACCATTGACTATTGTCATATTTGCAGGAGAGACAACTGAAGCCAATGGGGTTAGTAACTTCATCACTAAGGCTGGTGTCAGCTCACAGGAGTCAGTATCCTGGGACAATTTGACTCCCCCAAATCTACCTTCTCATCTTATACTCCTTTTAAAATATGATGAATTAATGTAGTAGTTCTGAACCTAAAGGCCTAGAATTTGAAGCAAAGAAGCGAAGAAACTCTTAAAACCACAGAATTTCAGCTCTGAAGAAGAAAACCAAAGGCTCTTCCTTCATCCAAATTCTCAATGCAGTGCTGCAGTATCAAGAGAGAAATGGAAATAGAAGGCATACACCTTCATAAGGACTTAAAATCAACTCAGCCTTAGGGTCAGCCTCCACTGAGAAAGAGCTCTGAGCTTCACTGGACAATGCATTGCTCTTTGTCTGGTCTCAGGAGTACTAAAACACCAACTTCTGATCCAAGATCATCCTTTACAGGTGACGATAATTGAAATAAATGTATTAAATGTATAATGCCTATGGCAAATGATGAGATTGTTTAATTACTGGGTTTATAACAGATCAAACATTATTCAAAGCCCTCTTAAAAGTGATGGCAAAAATTTGCTGGGTTATGAGGGTGGAAAATAAAATTTAGAAGACTAATTCAAGAAGTTTTCTTTTCTTTTTCTTTTCTTTTTGCTCTTAAGGTGCTTTTGTTTTCTTTTTAAGGTAGAGTGCTTTAGAAGTTTATTTTTGATTTTAACAGTGTTAAATATATTTCAAGTTATAAATTCAAGACTTCCAGTTCAAAACTTCTGAATTAGGCTTCTAAATTTTATCTTCCAATTTGTAACCCAGCAAACTTTTGCCATCGCTTTTAAGAGGGCTTTGAATAATGTTTGATCTTGCTTATAAACCCAGTAATTAAACAACTTCATCATTTCACATAGAGCATTTTCTTGCATTTAATACATTTCTTTCAATTTTAAAATTAAACTCAAACCAAAGTCTTTCCACCAATTACTTAAAAGATCTGTAAGTTTAATAGAAGTTAATTTTACAAATACAGTGAATCTAGCGTTCTCACCGAGATATTCCAAAAACTGCATACACTGTAAAAGAAACAGCCACACGTCTAAACCAATTACTTAATTACACATTCTAATTTGGAGTTTCAAGTTGTCATTTTATTGAGGCTGATTCTCCTTACTAAAGACTTCACAATAATATAAATTATATATATACACATAATACATATACTCTTCAGAATTTTTATATATATATATACACAAACATATATATAATTATTACTATGTTACTATAATTTTGATTATTTGGAAACTTTTTCTTCTTAATTCTAAATCTTCCAGGGTTAGTGCTTCCAGTAATTCCAGGTTGCCCACCTACTAAAGCAGACAGTTGCATCATCCAAATTCATTTACAGTGTTACTTAAAACCAGAGATTTATCATGGAGACTGGCAGTTATAGACATCCTCTAAGAGATTCTTCTTACCATCCCCCTAGGTAGAGTGTCTTTTTATAACACTGTCATGGGTTTCAACATTTTTAAAGAAGAAAGCTGACCTTCGTCTCAGTTTTCTTCATTTCACAAAAGCTTATGTATACTCCTGTAGGTTGATTATGAATTTTTGTATTTTTTTGATTCAAGAAATGTGCAAATACTATAAAGTCTTTGAACTAGATAGGGTCTAAGATGTAAATGCTTATTTTCCACCTAATGTAAAATTTTATAGGCTCTTATCTTCATTACTACCATAGGAATATCCCATCTTTTTATGGATATTCAGAGATATATATAATTACAATTTGGATGTCCCATAACAGTACCTGACTTGTGGTCACAACTCCCATAAGAATCATTCTGCTAATAATCTCTATTTATTGGAAGGATTAAGTGGAATAGTGTACTAACTTAAAGGCACGAGCAGGAGCAAATGAGTTTGATTCCAGGTTCCTCCATTTAATAGCTGTGTGACCCTGAGCTAATTACTTAACCATTCTGGGCTTCAGTTTTCTCATTTGCAAAATGAAAATTGTAAGTGTATTTTTGTTTAAGACTATTGTGAAGGGATTACATTTTCAATACTAAAGGTAAAGATGGCCCAGGACCTAGTACAAAGCAGGTAGTCAATAAATGCTGCCCATTAGTAGTCCTAAGGTCAGGTATTCTGGTCCTAGAGAGCTTTGCCATCAAGGAAGAGTTACCAAGAAGAGATTTAGTAAATACTCAGGGTGAAACCTAGGAAAAACAGAAATGAAAAAAAAAAAAAAAAAAAAAAATTACAGTCCTGCAATTAAGCCAGTATCCAAATGAGATTTTCACAGCTCAAATTTGCTGAGTGGTTGATGGTTTACCACAGGCTAGTTTCAGCTGACCAGACTCTGAAGCGAGTCAGTCTTCAATAGCATTCATTTGGTTCGGGAGGGTATAATCACCTTTCCCTGAGACAGAAGCCCCCAAGGTGGGCCGTCATACTATCTGGGCATGCCAGTTAAAGGCTCAAACACATTCATAGCTTGCTTAAGAAGTTTAGCATTCCTGGGGAAGCTAAAGTGACAAGAAAAACAATTTTGTCTAAGAAATAAGGGTCTGGAGTCAGAGTTTTGCAACTCTTTAGCCACATCTTTGGAAGTTTCCTTCTGGGTCATGAGCTGGGACAGCATATCTTAATGTGAAGGTCTGTGGGGAAACTTGAATCATGACTTGGGGAAATGACCTTCTCTTAGTTATTGTCTGGGACAGGAGTCTGAGATCCCATCCCTCTCAATCAGGACTGCATTCAGTATTGCACACGCCGTGTAAACAAACTAAAATAGACCTCACTCAAAATAGCTCTTCAAGACACCCTACAGCTCTGTGTGAGGCCAGGAAGGCTGGTCTGGTTTGGATGCTGGCTAGGGGGCCAGTGCTGGTCTGGCATGCCTCCTAAGGGAAGCAGGAAGTACAGGAACTGTCATGTTTGTGATCTGACAGTCACTGCCCTTCCCTAAACATTGGATTAGCCTCAAACCTCTCTTGCCTCCTTAGTGCCAAACACATTCAGCTCCTGTCCTCAGTGAGGAGATCTTAGTTTTCTTCCCTTTTAAAAAAAAAAAAGGGAGAGGAAGTGAATGTAATGTCACAGCAAGCAATACTTACAGCGAGCTTTTTCAAGGCAGGCATCCCATTCAGAAGGATTTGTAGTTCATCAAACTATCATTTTCTCTTATTTCCACCAAACCACTATTCCCTCAGAGAGGCCATTTCTTTTTTTTTTTTTTTTGGGGTTAGAAACTCTCATGTTCATAAATTGCTAGAAGGAGCACAAGGATCAAAGCCATGAATAAAATTAACTGGTTGTCAGCTCTGTAAGGTGCGCTAACACCCTGCAGTGACCTGCACTGAAGGCAAAAGCAAACTCCAGTGAATGGGGAGGTGAGACGACTCTATACAGTTGCCCCTTAGATGCATACCCTCTCTCTTTTATACCTGCCTAACGTAGACCTGATAGCAGCAGCCAAAATATCATGTCTGAGGGTAGTAGATCAGGGAAACCACTGGACCAGGAGTCAGAGAGGAGTGTCTGTATTTTTGGGAATGCTTCTTAGATTTACTAGTTGGGCAAGTTATTTACTTCTCTGAGCCTTGTTTTGTTATCTGCATAATGGGAAAATAATCAAGCCTCACTGAGCTCAAAAGAGAACCATATTGCAATGGTGAAAGTGAGCTATAAGAGCTGATACACAAACCTAAGGACTGAATAGGTTATTTGATGGTGCTGTGATGGATAATGTCAATGTCTGTTAATGGATTAAGTTCTACATCTAGAAGCCTGCAGATTAAGACATAATCTTCTATATCCATGTCATCATGTGGATAACTTGCATTGATAAGTTTGAGAGCTGAATTCTTGTAACATTCCTGCTTGAGACAACATACTGCTATTTTTATTTTAAAAATAAGAGAGAGGAAGCTAAGACATAATTAGCTCCACGCCTGTAATCCCACAGCAGCACTTTGGAAGGCTGAGGTGGGAGATCACGAGGTCAGGAGATGGGGCTTCATCTGGCTAACACAGTGAAACCCGTTTTACTAAATGCCACAAAAAAATTAGCCAGGTGTGGTGGCACGTGCCTGTAGTCCCAGCTACTCGGGAGGCTGAGGCAGGAGAATCACTTGAACCCAGGAGCCGGAGGTTGCAGTGAGCCGAGATCATGCCACCGTACTCCAGCCTTGGCGACAGAGTGAGACTCTGTCTCAAAAAAAAAAAAAAAAAAAAAAGGAAAGAAAAGAAAACAAAAAGAAAAGAAATAAGGAAAAACTGAGACTTTGGTGAATTGAGTGATATGCTCAACAACACCCAAAGACAAGAAGCCTTTTCTACTACTCTACTGTGTTGGAACTGTAAAAACAGAAACTAAGTTTACTAGACATTCTAAAGCTCTTGTAGTTTCTGAAATAATATCATTCCACTTCATAGAAGTACTTTGTAAGCATTGGCTCTTATTCATAATAGGGCACATTTTAGAAATTGCATTTGCCTCTGGAAGAACCACTGGCTACTGAGGAAGGTACATAGGGTTTTGTTTTTCCAGGAATCCTCTTTGAACCTTTAAACCACTCTTCCATTTTCCTTTTTCCTGTCACTGTAATCTACTGAAAATTCAGTTACCTTTTCTACTCTATCTCCTATCCATATATTCTGCATTTCTTAACTCCCTCTAAACTCCTAGCAGTAACTCTACTAAGACGGGTAGTTCTGCGGTTACCTTCTGAGTTTCTCATTTCTGTTGCTACAGTCTAATGTACAATTTTAGCCTGTCTTCATTGTATCTGAGAGTTTGTCTCTCCCCAAGTGACCTCATTAGGCATGGTGACCACAGACTCATGCTTAACACGTCATGCTAATGCAGAGGCAGCAGAAAGGCTGAAGTTACAACTTAGGAAAACTACAGTGTGTATTACAGTTTAAAGGCTTTGAGAAGCTATGGGACAGTTCTAAGCATGTGTTTTTCTTTTTTTTTTTTTTTTTTCTGGGCACAGAAAAAAATTTACTAAGTCACTCTGGTTTCCTACACTGGTTTCTATTGTTTGAAGCAGTAAGGAATAATGGTGTCCTCTTTTTTCCAGGTTCGGTGGAGGAGGTTGCTGGTGATCTCTGTCCTACTTGAAGACTGGGCCTATTCACAGCAGCTCTCTGCCCTCAGTGGTCAGGCATGCAATTTTTGGTGGTGGGAAGCCACCTCATTACTGCTTTCCCATGCCACTCTCCTCCCAGTCAATTCTAAAATGGAACATAGAACCTTAGATCATCAAAATGATTCCCAGTTCAGACTGTTCAGGTTTCCAGACACATACTCTATTATATTGAGTATAAAGTTGCTTTTAGACTGGAGCTTTAGTCTACTGTGGATTTTTTTCCCCTCAATATTCTCTCCTCTCTAGTTCTTCTTCATTCATGTGTTTGAAAATATCTTTAGTTTACTTTTAATGATCTGTATATCATTTTTGTCTTCTGATTTTTTTTTTTTAATTGTCTCACTTAGGTATTATCATTCACTTAGAGTATGCCAGATATCTGCCATACCATCATGGATACTCCATAGATTAAATACTTCTTTTTAAAGCGAGGTAGCTCTGGGAATTAATATATTAGTGAAGCAGACTATATTGCCCACTTCTCTTAAAAATGATTTTTATCTTCAAAACTCAAGCTTAGTGAATGAATTTTATAAAAAAATGATTTTATTACTGAAACACTAAGAAAGTATGAGATCTCTTAAGTAAAACCTTGTTGAGAAAATAAGCAAGCCAAAGAAAAACATAGTTTACTGTTTTTGCTTATTTAGATAAACTCAGTATTTTGAAAATGAATATATATGCTTTATTTGCAAGCATTTTTATTCTAGTGTCCTGGGAAGGAGCTAATATCATTTTGGATATGGATTCTACTAGGCAGTAAAATGAATAGTATATAGAACTTACTACTAAGTTGCTGTTAAATCAAAAGGATGACTACATTTTACAAAGATGGGAAGTCATGAGTGAATCTCATATGAGATATGCCTGCAGAAGGAGAATTTTGAGAGATTGGGCAGAAGAGCAGGGAGCAGGGGGAAGTAGCTAAGGGCAACAAATTAAAAAATTCTCCGGTAGAATATAGATGAATCACCATTATTTTGATGCCTCTATTAGGAGGAAGAATCATCTACTAGTTACAAAACTGTGCTTGATTTTTTTTAAAAAGGGAGGAGTGTAAGTTTTGTAAAGCATTAACAGAGCCAAGGTCCTTGTTATGACCTAGTATTTGTAAATTTTAAGTACATTTTAATTTTAGGAATGTAGAAATAACTCAAAGGGAGGCCAAACCAAGCTCCTGTGGTAAGAACAATAGGAATTCAGAAATTTTGTTGTATTCCTATTATCAAGGTTAATAATTTAAGACTTTATATTAACATATAAATTTGATTGTGCCAGTATTCTGCCCAAAGCTCACTTTATTTATAGCCACCAATGTTGCCAGTTAAGATAGAAGTTCTTACAGCAGTTAAAGAACCTTTACAAAAAAAATATAAAGCCACAGTTTTGTTAATTTCCAAAGATGCTTTTGTAGCAACTATGTGGTACAGTACTTTATTTTTAAATCTCTGCACACAGATCCTGTCACATTGTGAAGCAAACCCTTTTGTACTTTATACACCCAAGCGTGAACAAATAATGTTATGTATTAGTGCGAATAATTAAATTGATGATCTTCCCTTTTGAAAACATGACTAACCAATATATGGGAACAGAATACTTCACTTCTCTGGGAAAAGGTAAAGGTGAAAAAAATTTCTTGAATAGCATTGTGCCTAGATTTTAGCTTCACCTTGGGGAGAAATTGCTCCCTCCATGGCAATGTTCAGTTTTTCCTCTCCCTGGACAATAAACAGCACCAACAATCTTATTATTGATTCCAGTTAGCCACCTGACTGGTTGGGTTTTGTTAAACTGTAACAACGTGCCGAGTGGCTTGACAGCCCCCTTTGTCCCTCTATTTTCTCTCCAGATTCTCTTCATGTGCACTTCATCTTCAAAAGAATTCCAACAAGCTACCAAGGCATGACCTTCCCCCCTGTCTGAAACTTTAGCAGAGGATATGAAGGCAAGCTGTGCTTGCTTCTGTAAATGTTTGCCTTTGAATCCTCTAGAACAGTGGTTAAAAAAAAAAAAACAAAAAAACATATCCTTTAAGCTAACACAGTTTTGTGTGAGAAAGCAGAACAATTTCTTTAACCATCACAATGATGTAGTCTATAGTCTTTTCTCTGAAAGATTAAGTTAGCCATATAAAAGCTGTTATAAATTCAGAACACTAACTAGCTTAGATCAGCTCAGATATTTTAATGTTCCAATGGCTTCATCTTTTCTTTCTTTCTTTCTTTCTTTCTTTCTTTCTTTCTTTCTTTCTTTCTTTCTTTCTTTCTTTGTCATTTAGTAGAATGAGAATCACGAGGTTTTGGAAGTATTTGCTTCCTTATGGTAAAAATTTTAAATGGATGATTCTTCTCAATCAGGTTATGCTCTATATTCTTTTTAAATTTAAGAGAGTTTTAATTGTCAGATATCAGGGCTTTGTGGAAAATGATGACTGTTATTCCTTTCCTCTAATTCTATGGTTTTTCTTGCTTTTCTCTCAGGTCTGCGCCACATAACCATTCTGAAGCTTTTAGGCGTTGGAGAGGAAGTTGGGGGAGTGTTAGAACTGTTCCCAATTAATGGTAATGTGTTGTTTATTTTGAAACACAGTATGAACTAGTGTTAAGTTCGGTTAAATAACATTAAGCTATATGCTAGCAGTGGGTGTATCTCTAAGGTGAACAAAGTTCACTGATTCCTCCTCCCACTTCATGCACTTGTGCATGTGTGTGCATGTGTGTGCAGGATATGTAGGGAAGGGGTGTAGGTACAGGGACTTATATTATTTCTAATATAAACCATTCAAAGTAACAGTAAAACTATCCATTTTTTCTTAACTAAAATAATGCTTTTGGGGGAGATTCGTATAGGCCCTTATGGTTTTACAAAGCATTTTCTTCTATTTTATCATTTTAATTCTCACAATAGTTTTGTGAGGCACATGGAAGTCATATCTGGGTCAGTTTCCTTTCAACAGATAAGGACATACACTAAAAGGCTCAGAGAAGCTGAAAGATACACACACTAAAAGGCTCAGAGAAGCCAGGCACGGTGGCTCATGCCTGTAATCCCACGCTTTGGGAGGCCCAGGAGGGCAGAACACTTGAGGTCAGGAGTTTAGAGCTTCCAGCCTGGCCAACATGGTAAAACTCGTCTCTACAAAAAATATAAAACTTAGCCAGGTATGGTGGCATGCACCTGTAATCCCAGCTACTTGGGAGACTGAGGTAGGGGCAATTGCTTGAACCAGGAGGTGGAGGATGTGGGTGAGCCAGAGCACACCCACTGCACTCCAGTCTGGGTGAGAGAGCAAGACTCCATCTCAAAAACAAAACAAAAATCAAAACAAAACAAAACAAGACTAAAGGTTTCAGAAAGCAAATTCAGTCCTTTCTTCCAAGACCAAGCTCTTTAAATAAAATAATGTGTGTAAAATACTTAGCAGAGTGTCGAAACAGCAGACATGAAAGTATCAGCTCCTTTTCTCCTTCCCCTTTATTCTCATCACTATTCACAATAGTTTAAATATTCATCTAGATCTTAGCAGATTGGTATTTTCACTTTTAACAACGAAATAAGCTTTTTGTTATAAAGATGTGTCAAAGGAAAGCTGTAGTTACAGAGAAAGTAACTTCTACTTAAGCTAATTGGAAATAAACTTAGAAATGTAAACTATATAATCTTACTTTAGTGACAAATTTTAAAGAAATTAATCTTGCAGAATTAAATTAAGAAATTAGTTTCATACTTTGCATAACATTCCACAAAAGGACCACTCAATGTGCCAGTTTTTAGAGCTCTGTGAAATATTTGCACAAGTACAGCACAGGGCATTGAAGCTATCTAAATGAAAAGCCCCAGCAAACTTCTTTAATTAGATTTTGAACTAAAGAGAAGAGCTCATGGGTCCTCCCTATTCAGCATGATGATTTCCTCACTTCAATGTTTTCATGGGCTCTGACTGTTTAATGCACTAACAATAACTATTCCAATGTTATTCTAGGGAGCTCCGTTGTTGAGCGAGAAGATGTACCAGCCCATTTGGTGAAAGACATTCGTAACTATTTTCAAGTGAGCCGAATTACTTCTCCATGCTTCTAGTTGGAAAAGGCGAGGAAATGTCAAATCTGAGTATCTTTACAATGTGGTCTTACTGGTGATTATTATGCGATTTAATTGATTAGAATGCAGCCCGGAGACAGAAATGGCAATTCAGCAGTCACTGGGGATGCGCTGCCCAGAAGATGAGTATGCAGGCTCACGGTTACCATAGATTACCACCAAGGATACCAGGATGGTTACCAGGATGACACCGTCATCATGAGGTTATCTCATGGATACCCTTACTGAACAGAAATATGTAACCTTAGACTCAGCCAGTTTCCTCTGCAGCTGCTAGAAGCCACATGTGGCCAGCTCCATTCTTCCACACCTACCATTCCCTGCCTTTTTCTTAATGTCTTTGCTTAAAAGATTTAAATAAATAGCAAACTTTCACCTATTCATGAGTTATTATTAAAACCTTAAATCATAGAGACATTTAAAGAATTGTTGTTTTTCTAGCGGAGGAGCTCTAGTGCTAAGTAATGGTACTGAAAATGGACATAGATTTTCCTTTACTTATATAAAGGACCTTATTTGGTGGCAAAATTTTATAAAATATGTATTTATAGCTCTTTTTATTATTTTTGTATTAGTGGTAGAAGTGAAAACTCTGTTAAAGATCACACCACAAATGTTTTCAGGAAACATCTGACAAGATAAAACAAAGAACAAGTAACTTTCAATACTTACTGAAATTGACACTTTTTGAAATGTCAGTCTGAAAATAATTAAAGAAGATATCTCTGCTTTGTATCAGTTTCTTTTATGAAACAGTACCACAAGTCCAGTGATATTGGTCTCAAAAGCCAGAGAAAGTACCAAGCCCAGCTTTGTTATCATAGTCACTTTCTGCCCAGCTTCTGTTATTTTTAGTGTTTTAGGTATAAATCAGGGTCCAGAGAAATCCTCACCAGAATCTGGCACTGCTGGCAGAGGTAGCCACTTCAGAGTTCTAGTAGGCTGCTATGGAATTTACACACATGAAAATTCTTGAAGCCCCTCACCTTTACCCCCTGCTACAGCACAAGCATACCATGGAGCTATTACAGGATCAGTTCCAGACCACCATAATAAAGTGGATATACAGCAGATAAGAGTGAGTCACACAAAATTTTTGATTTCTCTAAGTGCATATAAAATTTATGTTTACACTCTTTTGTAGTCTATGAAGTGTATAATAGCTTCATGTCTTAAAAAATGTACATATTTTATTTTAAAAATACTTTATTGTAAAATTACTAGTATCGTAATCTTTTGCCTTGATGTTGATGGCTGCTGAATGATCAGGAGTGGTGGTTACTGAAGGTTGAGGCGGCGGTGGCAATTTCTTAAAATAAGGCAGCAATGAAGTTTGCCACTTTGATTGACTTTTTCTTCATGAAAGATTTCTCTGCAGCATGTAATGATCGTATGATAGCATTTACCCATAAAGTAAAACTTCTTTTGGGGAGTGGAGCCAATCCTCTCAAACCCTGTTGCTGCTTTATTAATGAAACTTATGTAATATTCTAAATCCCTTTTATCTCATTTCAATAATGTACCTAGCAACTTACACAAGAGTAGATTCTATCTCAAGAAATCACTTTCTTTGTTTTATTCATAAGAAGCAAGTCTTCATTTGTGTTAAACTTTTTGTACACGAGTTGCAGCAATTCAGTCACATCATCAGGCTCCACTTCTAATTCCAGTTCTCTTGCTATTTCCACTATATCTGTATCAAAGCTTCCTCAATGAAGACTTGAGCCCATAAAATCATCCATGAGGGATGGAATCAGCTTCCAAACTCATTAATCTTCATATTTTGACCTTCTCCCATGAATCACAATGTTCTTAATGGCATCTAGAATGGTGAATCCTTTCCAGAAGGTTTTTAATTGCTCCGCGGAAGATCAATAAGCGGACTCCCACAATCTCATAGTGACAGCTATAGCCCCTTCACGAAAACTGCAAACCACTCCTTGATTCATGTGCTGCACAACAGATGTTGTTAGCAGGCATGAAAACATTAATCTCCTTGTATATCTCTGTCCAAGTTCTTGGGTGACTAGGTATATTGTCAATGAACAGCTATACACACACACAAACACACACACACACATATATTTTGAGACAGAGTCTCACTCCTGTCACACCCAGGCTGGAGTGCAATGGTGCAATCTTGGCTCACTGCAACCTCCGCCTCTGGGGTTCAAGTGATTGCCTGCCTCCCAGACCCCCAAGTAGCTTGGATTTCAGGCACCACATTTCGCCCAGCTATTTGTGCAGTAGAGATGCAGTTTCACCATGTTAGTCAGGGTGGTCTCGAACTCCAGACCACAGGTGATCCACCCACCTCGGCCTCCCAAAGTGCTGGAATTACAGGCAGGAGCCACAACCACTTTAGCTTGAACAACCAATATTTTTAAAGGTTACTTTTTCTGAGCAGTAAGACTCAAAGGGTGGGCTTAAGATATCAGTAAACCATGTCCATAAGGCATGCTGTCATTCAGGCTTTGTTGTTCCATTTATAGAGGCACAGGCAAGAGTGATTTAGCACCAGTTCTGAAAAGTCACAGGATTTGGGGAAATGGTAAATCAGCACTGATTTCAACTTAAAGTCACCAGCTGTAATAGCCTCTAACAAGAGTAAGCCTGTGGTGTTTAGAAGCTTTGAAGTGAGGCACTGACTACTTCTCTGTAGATACGCAAGTCTGAGATGGCATCTTCTTCCAATATAAGGCTGTTTCATTTCTTTTTTTTGAAAATCTATTGTTTAGTGTATTTTTATTCATTAATTATCTTGGCTGTCTGCTGGGTAACACACTTGCAGCTTCTAAATCAGCATTTGTTGCTTTACTTTGCACTTCTGGATGGACAAAAACTGCTTTTCTTTTCTCTTTTTTTTTAATTAATTTATTATTAATATACTTTAGATTGTGAATTGCACATGTACACATTACAGGTTTTATATTTCTATATGTATGCTTATTGCCATGTTGGGTGTTTTAACATCAACTCGTCATTTGTCAGTCATAACTCCCATTGCAATCCCTCCCCCTCCCCCCTCCCATGATAGGCCCGATTGTGGCAGTGTTCCCCTTCCGGAGTCAAGTGATCTCATTTGTTCAGTTCCCACCTATGAGTGAGAACATGCGGTGTTTAGTTTTCTGTTCTTGTGACAGCCTGCTAAAGAATAATTGGTTTCAGCTGCATCATAATACAGGGACACAAACTCATCCTTTTTATATGGCTGCATAGTATTATGGTAGCATAGCCATGCCCATTTTTCTCAATCAATCTGTCACTGATGGACATTTGGGTTGATTCCAAGTCTTTACTAAGCGTAAGATAGTGCTGCAATAACCTCGTGTACCTCACAAACAGACTCTGCCACCTTCAAACTTTTTTCTGACTTCCCACACCTCCCTTAGCTTTCATAGAATTGAAGAGAGAGTTAGGGCCTTATTCTGAATTAGGTTTAGCAGGGGAAATTTGGCGTGGCTTGATCTTCTATTAATTTGACTCAAAAGTTTCCTTCATAACAGCAATAAGGTTGTTTACTTTCTTATCATTCATGTTATATTCACAAGTAGCACCACAATTTCCTTCAAGAACTTTTCCTTTGCATTTTGCTTCCGGTTGTTTGGCATAAGGCTTAACTCAAGCCTGTCTCAGTTTTTGACACACAGCACCTCATTAAACTCATTCATTTCTAGCTTTGATTTAGAAGTGAAGAAGATTACAACTCCCTTTAATACACTTAGAGGCTATTTTGGAGTTATTGGTAATCCAATTTCAATATTGTGTCTCAGGGGAGTAAGGAGGCCTGAGAAGAAGAGGAGAAAGATGGGAGAAAGTTTTGGTTGTTTGAGGCAATCCAGAATATACACAACATTTATTAAGTTTGACCAGCATTATATAAGTGTGGTTACGTGTTCCCAGTAATTATAATACTAACATCAAAGATCATTGACTACGGATTTCTAATAACAAGAGATAATAATGAAAAGTGTGAAATATTGCAAGAATTACAAAATGTGACTACAGAGACATAAAGGAAGTGAGACAGCGTACTATTGCATTAGTGTCAACAGACTTCACTTGATGCAGGAGTTGCCACAAACCTTCAATTTTGTGAAAAATGCATTATCTGAGAAGTATAATAAAATAAGATGCTGACTGTACTTACTTGCTAATGGACATTACACCATACTGACATCTTACAAAAAAAAATTACAAGGAAGAGATTATATCCAGGATTCTTTTGTTTTCAAGGCATAAAGGTTACCCAAGTTACAATGGACCAAGTAGCTGGAATGCAAAGTATAATCATATCTTTTGAAAAAGAGCATTTGTTCCAATCATATGGCATATCAAAGTAATCTTTCCCTTCCCTCCTCTTCTGCTCCTTGCTGCTGCTTCTTTTCTTTTCTTTTTTTTTTTTTGGAAGGTCTGCTTTGTCACCCAGGCTGCAGTGCAGTAGTGCAATCTTAGTGGCTCACCAAACTCTGTTTCCCTGAGCAGAAGTCACTCCACCTACAAAGCTCCCAGTTAGCTGGGACCCTGCCCCATGCTCCACCCATGTAGCCCCTAACTATCTCTACTTCTTTTACTACATTTTTTCAACAAATGTTTATCAGAAAATATTGTCAAGTAATATTTATGAGCTTCCCTATCAGATAGGCATTTAGCATCATGAGTGTTTCATCCTCTAACAATAATGGAAGGCCTATTTTCCACTATTTATTAATCATTAATTCTCGGAAATCATTTTGACATTATTATTGGAAATTCAATAAGTAGCAGAGATTAAATGCATTCAAACCACATGTGAATATTTGCTATGGGGCTTATCTGTGCCTACTGTATGTTCAGATTTGTCTTTTTATATCTTGTGAACTTTTTGTTATAAATAAATGACAGTAAAAATGGAATTTATGGTTTCAATGAACTTGACAAATCACTTTAATCTGCCGTTCATTTCCATAAAGACCATTAAAATTTCTTCTTGTTTTACAGGCAACTGGCTCAGAAGAAATCAGGTGACTTCAAGAACTCAGTTCTTAGTATGTGAATTATCTCTACCCTCTTCCTTGGTGGAACTTGCCTTTCCTCCTCATTTTTTCTTAGACAGAATTCTGTACAGAAGCTGCTTGAGTGTGCAGGAAGGTAGAGCCACGTCAGAAGTGTACTACTTTCAAATTTTGCCAGAATTGAAACACAGCCCAAAGTTGCCAGCAAAATAGTTTCTTTATCCTTTTGTTTCT